GAAACTCACTTGCAGACTCCACAGAAAATGCCCAAATTATCTCAGAAGCCTAACTAATAATTCCCACCCTTGTTCCATATTTTCAACTTTCAACTTCATCTTTGCTTTGCACAAGTTCCTTCCTTTTTTGCAGTTCACTCCAAGTAATGCTCAGATAAATGGTGCCACACCCAGTGGGACATGAGGTACACCAGATTACACTTGATTATGATGGTGAAGGGTGAAGTGGGGACAGAACTTGAAGTTCTGAGGATAGAACCCTTGCACATGCAAAACAAATTACTTATAACCTGAGTCTCAACCTCAATCTCTGACCTAAAGACCTAACCCTCTTGGTTTACTTACACCATTACTCCTAGCAAAGCTCAGAGAGAAAGATTTTGTCACCCCCGACCTCCATTTTTTAGTTAGCTCCATATAAAAGTGCCAATTTTATTTTGACTAATTTCTAATCCTTCCCTCTGACTCCAAATCAATTGGCAAGTCATGATATTACTATGTATACTCTGAACCTTTGCAAGCACACTTTTATAGCATTCTCCTATTCTCCTATTCATTTTTATTAATAGTTTTTCAAAATATAAAATTAATTTAAAAACTAGAGAAAATGTTAAAAACTTATTTCTTACAACTTTAGAATGAATTTTGTACTTCTTTAGACTAAGCATGTAGAGGCTTTAGGATCCAGGCTTGACCTGCGTCTTTAAACCTTTTTGATGATTAATGAATCTACCTTATCACATATTCCAATTAAATTCAATTTTCCATGTTCTTAATATTACTGAATCCTAAAATTTGGTCCTGCCAGTTTATTTCCCAGGCACATTCTTACTTTATCTCAATATTCGAATGTTTATCACTGTTTATAGGCTGTCTCCAAAGAGATATATTACAATATATTTTTCTTTAGCCTCTAAGGAGAAAAGATTATTCCACTTTTGCAAACATCCCACAAATATTTGATCATTCTTGAGCACTGCCTTTGTAGCCTATCATATATTCTATCTCTTTGGGTAAATATTATTTTTTCTCTCCTAGGCTGCAATTTATAGATAGGCTTCTATTTCCTTTCAGTTGTTTTTGGGGCTTATGACAAAGCTCATTTCAAGTACAGATAAAGAATTTTTTATGAAAGTTGAAACTAGTAGAAATGTAAGAAATTTATCTTTCTACCTTCACCCAGCACTTTATGGTGTGCTGACTGAAAGAATTTGTTTTAAAATTCTTATTAGTTCATTAATCTTCCATTTGGGGCGGTACTTGGTACTCCCAATGCAATGCTCAAGGGTCAAAAGGACCTTATGGCACTAGAGACAGAAACTGGGGCACACATATGTAATATATGTGCTCCAGCCCTTTGTGTTTTCTCCTCAGAAGTCTTTTTTTTCAATCCCCCAAATTCTTAATGCTTTTTCTCAACTAATAGTGACTTCTTTTACCTAATTCATAGATATGTTGTTGGACATAAGTGAAAAGATATATAAAGTACCTAATAGAGTATTTCAAAATCAAAATTATCGTTATGGCTCTTGTTATCAGTGCTATAATGGTAACTACTTCTTAATGAACAAATAGAAGAAAATCACAAAGTAATATTTACTTTGACTATAAAACTAGGAACATTTTTAAATATTTTGACATCTTTATATTGTGTATATGTGTATATATATAGAGAGAGAGAGACTGAAGGTGCACGAGTTATATCCTCTTTATGAAGAAAATATTAGATTACAAAACCCTTAGAAAAGATACTTAATATATACTTTAAATTGAGTAATATGTATGTGTGTTGTGATTTAAATATATCTCTGTTATCCAGTTTTTAGAGGGATGCTTTGAAAAATGTAGAAAAAGGAGACACATTGCAAAATGTCATTGATATTTGACTCTATCATTGAAATTTTTAGACCATTTACATATTTTAATTTATTTAAAATATTTCTTTGGGTGCCTGAGAGATAGTATTGTAAGGTGCTTTTTTCTTGCATGCATGTCCTACTTGAATTTAATCCTCAGCACCACATATGGTCCCTTTAACAACCCCCAGGAGTGAACACTGAGCAGAGCCAGGAATAAGTGCTGTGCACAACCTTGTATGGCCCAGAAATTTAAAAAAAACCCAAAGTATTCTTTATCCTTGTAATATAAACTAAGCATAAATTGATTGGAAAGTGTTTGATATTTTATGAAATATATTTTTTTCTATAAAATGTTTAAGACCAGATGTAAAAACAACTTAATTTTTTCCCTATAACTCTTATATTGGAAGTTACCATTTTGCTCTTTCTGTCATCTTTTTTTTTAATTATTTTACATTTTTTTAATTATGTTTTTGTGTCAGAGACATAAGGTCAATTTTTAAATAGGTAGTACATAAATTCTTGCTTTCTCAAGTACTTTGACCTGCATTTGGCTTAAACATTTAACAAATCACCATTATAATAACATGAAATAGGATCACTTTTATAAGAACATGAACTTGGATCACCATTATAAGAACATGAAATGGGATTGGATTACTTTTTGGGAGTGATAAATGTTCAAGTTCTTAAAATTTGAGAATTCCTATATCAAGTTCATGCATTTAAAAACGCATATCATTATACACCATAATTATCACTTGTATGAGACTAGAGTCCATATTATCTAACTTCCTGCAACAAAAAATCTCTGCTGAATTCCAATTATAAGCCTATGGAGTGTATCTATACAGTCAAATATATAATTTTCTAAATGCCAACACGGTGCTTGCCTAATTTATATCTGTCTACAGTCTCATAGACCCAAGACTCTTAATTCCACTGTGTCAAAGAATGAACATCTCTGAAATCATGCCGTGTTCTGACTTCTTTTGGTTAAAACTCCCTCCCTTGAAATGGGGGCCCATTTCAAATTAAAGTCTTTTATAGAATGTCTTCTTTACTCTTTCTCCTAAAACAGCAAAACACTTTCATGAGCACATATCATTATGTCTTTTGAGGTAATGACTATACCTTTCCAGAGTCAAGTGTTTGTTTTATCCAAACTGCTACTCAATCAGTGCACATGTTTTAAGAGTAAATGGACTATAAGTATGTTGTTTCTTTTTGCCTTCTGAACAGAAATAGTCACAGTGAATTATTTCAAGTTCAGTAGATTTCTGTTGCTGTTAAGTTGCTTAAACAGAGATTGGATCTCTATAGCAACTGCCCTAGGCTTATAGTTTACTCTCTTCTATATGGCTCTGCTCTCCTTCTGGTTAGCAGAGTGATTGACACATGACTCAATTTAACCAGCTCTGATGCTTTCACTACCTAAAGCTAATCTATGTTGGGCCAAAATATAAAATTTAGAAAAGAGAAGCAGTTAAGAGTTTTATTCTAACAAATAGATCCAAAGAAGCAGTATCTTGGTTTTGAAGGTCATAACCTATTTATTTAATAAAAAGCATATTCTTTTGTAATAAGGATGTGTATCCTTTTAATTTTGTAAATATCCTCCATAGAAATGCAGAGATTCCTACTATATAGATAAATAAATAAATGAATAAATAATCTAAGAACTCTGACATCATGTTTATAATATAGATCTTAAGTTACCTCAAGTAACTTTGGGGGGGGGCTGGTGGGGGGTGAAAGGCTACACTCAGAAGTGTTCAGGGCTTCCTCCTAGCTCTGTTCTGAAAAATCACTCTTTACATATACAACACCAGATATTTAACCAGGAACCTTCAATGCTGTTACTAAGTCAATTTAAGACTATGATATTTTCATCCAGTGTTTTATTTAATTATGTCTGTATTTAAATAGATTTTTTTAAAAACTGGTTTGTTTGAAAATTAAGTCATTGGCAGGAAAAAAAATACAGTAATTTTGTTTTTTCTTTTCATTTTGACCTTTATATAGAACATCTTTTCTAAAAGTCACATTTACTTCATACTATTTATTAGTAAATAACTGTTATAAGAAACCTAAATACTCAAAAACTGACTTTTAAAAATAGTTAATGACAGTCATCAATAACTTTATAAATAATGGTGTCTTTGGTTAAAAAAATGATTGAATTTTAGAAATCAATAACACGTGCCAAAATGTTTATTTGAAAATTTACATAGCATTTAATTATATAATTACAATTATCTCAAACAAATACCTCCCAAATAGCTTACTAATGCCTGCTAGCGAAATGCTTTAAAGAGTAAAACATTTACAAACTGTCCCTTCAGAGACATTATATAGCAGGCCAGAGCAATAGTACAGTGGGTAGGGCACTTGCCTTGCATCAGTCAGACATGGATTCTTTATCCCCAGAAGCATATTGGTCCCCTGAGCCCTGCCAGGAGTGATTCCTGAGCACAATCAGCGGTAAATCCTGGGAACCATCAGGTGTGTCCCCTCATCAAAAATTAAAAAGAGACATTCTGAACTTAGCTGAGCATTGATTTGATTTTTTTAATATTTCATTTTATTTTAGGCACCAGTCTTACAATTCTGTTATTGTTAGGGTTTCATACATAAGACATTTCCTCTGTCCTGACTTGCCCCTTGGTAGTTTGATCATTAATGTTATTTCAAATCGTCAAAATTATCAAATCTGATTAGTGCACTAATAAAATATGTGTGAGGTTTTTGCTAGATTTTCTTTATGCAAATGAATGTACTTACCTCAGACTTCCTAAATTTCAAAGTTGATGGATAGTAGTTTTAAAATAGAGTTTTAGAATTCAAAGGAAGATATGTTCTTTGGGAAGTATAAAACATTCCTCTTTATTCTTTTGCCAAACTTCACTAATTTACTGACCCAAGTCCTGGTCCAGCATCCATTGTTTACCCATCTTCTCTCCAAGTCAAAGAAGTTAACTTATTTATCAGAAATTTCTTGATTATAGAGATACTGGAACTCTATGATAAGCTTAATGTTTAATAGAACCCATAATTCTATAAAGTCTTTGAATAAAAGGAACATCTTTGAAATATGTAAGAAATGAACATGGATTAATGTGTCCTTTCTTTACTCTCCAGAAGATATTGAAGGTGCTCCAACTTCAAAGAAAGCTAGAGGTAAGAGTGTTATCTGTGATATACGTTTTCTGTCAAAATTATACTATTTTAGTAATTTATCTATTATTGATCAAATCTTCAATTTTATTCTAATGAATGCTTGATGGTGGACATGTTTTATAAACAAACATCATTTAAAATACTATATGATTTTAACTTTATTTATAAAAATATAGCTGCATTTATTTTCCAATCTCCTTAAAAGAGCTGTATTTCAAAATTATTGTATATTATCTAGGATGAGGGGAATGTTATTTGATAGCAAGAAGATAGCATGAATGTTCAATTATTAAGTTATACATTACGATTAACAAAAATACAGGCAACTTTTCAGTACTATCAGCAGAAACACAGAAGAAGCATAGTGGGACAAACGGAAGAAAAGAAGTTCCACAGATCAAAAAAAAATCTTCTACAACTGATTGTGTGATCATTAGCAAATATTTCCAAAGCTAAATATCTTTCTCTGTATTTTAAGAGTTTCAATTAACTTGATGTGGTTTGTTTCTGTGTTTGTTTTCTTTTCTTTATTTGGGAGAAGAGCACACCCAGTGATGTTCAGGGGTTACTTTCTGGCTCTGAACTCAGGAATTATTCCTGACCCTAATATATGCCGGGGATCAAACTTAGGTTGGTTGCAAGCAAAACAAGCTCCCTTCCTGCTGTAATATCTCTCTAGGCCTTAGTGTGTGTGCGTGTGTGTGTGTGTGTGTGTGTGTGTGTGTTTCTTAAGTTTTTCTTGACTTTATAGTTTGATTTGTCATATGTGAAATATTTTTCACTTGACTTGAAATTTCCCTATGAACACTAAAACTTCTGTTTGAAGTGTTTTTGACACCAAAATATAAGTTTGCAGCAGTTCTCAGAATTAATTAACTGTGAGAAAATATTGTGCTCCAGGAAAAACAAGGGAATGAATGTCTGAGTCTTATGATATGACTTATGCTGTTCTAAAATATTTTTAATGACAAATTTTAGACTTAAAATAATTAAGAAATCCAATTTTCAATATTTTTGTCTTATAAGTAATGTTTCTCAACTGATTTTATATATTAATCACTTGGTGATCTTTTCCAAATATGGGTTGGAAGCAATAAATTTGAATTTGTATGAGTTCTTTGAGTGAAACTAAAAATGGATCAAATTTTGAGAGGAAAGATTTTTTAATTTATCTTTTTATTTTAATTTTATAAGATCTAAAATGTATCTATAAAACATACACACATGCATATATGCATATACTTGCATCTTAACATTTACAAATTTCTGCTGGAACCCTACCACCTCAAAACCTTTATATCTGAATACCAGTTAAGAACTTCAGGCCTATAAAAGAACATTCAAATGGGTAGCTTCAATTTATTCATCACCAGAGAAATACATGTTACATTGATGACAGCAAAAAATTCTTGAGTCAGATAGTAAAAAGATGCAGGATATCAGGCATTCTTCAATTGTTTTTCTGTGGCTAAAATAATGCTAAGAAATGATATTCCTTTCAAATTTATAAATTGTTTTATATGTTCTAAAATATAAAACTACTTTTAATCAAATCTCACGCTCAGCATAGTGTTCTACATTAAAGACTTCTGAGAAAGGAATGTCTGTCAATAACCCTTATTGATCAAACAACACATCAGATGTATCTTTTGACTGAAGCCATTATTCACTGGGGATAAATATCTTACCTCCTTATATATTTCAGTTCTATATGCTTGTGCACAATAGTTAGGACTACATACGCTATTTATTTTTTAGTTTTATCCATTAAAAATCAGCTGGAACAATAGCAAAGCAACTTTGTATTTGCTTTGCATGTAGCCAGTTGGGTTTGATTCCTAGCACAACACGTTGTCCTGAGAACCCCATCAGGAGTGACCCTGAGCATAGAGCCAGGAGAAAACCCTAAGCAGTGACCCCAAATTTTTTGTGCCCCCCAAATCAAAATAAATAAATATAAATATCTGATGTTATATCACCATCAAAGAATTAAGAATAAAAAAACTATCATTAGAATAAAACTATTGGGTTCATCTCAAAGGTGAACAAAAAATTGAAATTCAACTTTTTTAAGAAGAACAAAGTTGAACAAAAAATTTTAGTCCAGAATCAAAGAACAACATTAAAATAGTTCACTACATTTTCAAAAAGAAGTTCATCCCTTTTTATGTCATGTAAGAGATACGTATTTAGAGGCTGGAGCGATAGCACAGCGGGTAGGGCGTTCGCCTTACAAGTGGCCAACATGACCGACCCGAGTTCGATTCCTCCGCCCCTCTCGGAGAGCCCGGCAAGCTACGAGAGTCTTCGATATGCCAGACACAGTAACAACAAAGTCTCCAATGGAGACGTTACTGGGCCCGCTCGAGCAAATCGACGATCAACGGGAGGGCCTTTACCTTTACCTTTACCTTTACAAAGTAATTACTGAAGCAGCATTTATCACAAGCAAACTCTTCTGCTCAGCTCTGATACTGAACATGTTAACTGATTATGTGCTTAACTGTGTATTACTGTCTATAAGATAGCTAAAGTTATATGGTGAAGTTTATTTTTAAAAGAAAGAACGTGTAAAAATATCTCTAAGAAATTCAATCACTAAAGGTTGAAAGTCCCTTTTTGATTTTTCTAGATATGTGGCAGTCTCTTAATATTCTATCTTTAGGGCCATTGATTTTAGTAGACAATCAATATTCATATGAGTTTCAAAATTCAATATCCAAGGTTCTCATTATCACAGTACTTCCAAATTAGACATTTTTCTTCAGATGGTAAAGCAATGAAGTTTGGATTCACAAATATATTAAAGTCATTGCAGAGTAGCACTGTAGCATTGTTCTTTCATTGTTCATCAATTTGCTCAAGCGGGCCCAGTAATGTCTCACAACAAATTGTTAGACTTCATATTGACTACGCCACAGGGAGCTTGCCAGGCTTTGCCGTGCAGGCGAGATACTCTCGGTAGCTTGCTGTGCTGTCCAAGAGGGGTGGAGCAATTGAACCGGGTCATCCATCTTGGCCACATGCAAGGCAAATGCCTTGCCCGCTGTGCTATCGCTCCAGCATTGCAGAGTCAAGGAAGAAATTTTTGAAATGGGTACGACACAAGTTTGCGTCTCAGAAATCTTTTAAAATATAGAATATATAGTTTTTGACTATATCAAAAATGTTAGTTGCATTCTAAAATTCTTAAAGGTATTTTTGTAGAAATGACTAAAATGAGTCCTACACTAGCAAATCATCTCCTACTCTTTGGTAATGGTTAATTCATTGATTAACAAGAAAATTCTACTAAACCCGTTTTAGTTATGGTGATTACTGAAATAGATTATTAAAAGGTTTTTATTATATAACTTCAAAACTATTTTAACAGAAATATAGGGAGTCAAACAACAATTGAGATCTTTTATCACACAAATAAATGTTAAGACATTTTAATAATATATGTTTATTGCATCAATGTAAACTTCCTGCTAAGTTTATTGTGCAATACCTTATAAAGAAGTTACTTTAGGATAAAATGGGCAAGGTATACATGGGATATTCATATTATGTTTTACAAGTGTTTACAACACTGCCCTGACCTCAAAATAAAATGTGTAATTAAAAGAATAAAAGGTAAAGGCCCTCCCGTTGATCGTCGATTTGCTCGAGCGGGCCCAGTAACGTCTCCATTGGAGACTTTGTTGTTACTGTGTCTGGCATATCGAATACTCTCGGTAGCTTGCCGGGCTCTCCGAGAGGGGCGGAGGAATCGAACTCGGGTCGGCCATGTTGGCCGCTTGTAAGGCGAACGCCCTACCCGCTGTGCTATCGCTCCAGCCTCTAAATACGTATCTCTTACATGACATAAAAAGGGATGAACTTCTTTTTGAAAATGTAGTGAACTATTTTAATGTTGTTCTTTGATTCTGGACTAAAATTTTTTGTTCAACTTTGTTCTTCTTAAAAAAGTTGAATTTCAATTTTTTGTTAATTTCAATTAAAAGAATAAAAAAGTGAAACCAATGTGATTTTTCAGATAAAAGTTATCCTGGCACTAGAGCAATTGTATAGCAGGTAGTGCACTTGCTTGGCACAAGGCCCAGCCCAAGTTCAATCCCCGATACTCCATATGCTCTTTCAAGACCCACCAAGAAAGATCCCTGAGCACAGCGCCAGGAGTAAACCCTGAACACTCCTTGGTGTGGCCCCCCAAACAACAAGAAAACAAAAACAATATTAAAACTGCTTTAAATTTAATTGATGATATACTTTAGAAATTTTTTTCTATTTTATCTTGCTACTAAGAAGTCCCATAACCTGTTATTTATAAGTCATATAAAAGCCTTTAAAATTTTCAGTTATAATGATATTTTTATTAGTAGTTTATTCAACTTGACTTAAATAAATGTATGAGAGCACTGCAATCTCTGATAGTATGTGGCTAAAAAGTGGCCTGCTTTTGATGTTTTCCTCAACTTTTAGACTGGTGCTCATTTCTAGCTTAGGCTAGCTTTATTTGGAATGAACTGTGTGAGTTTAGAACAAAATAAAAAATAATTTTGAATTAGATGAAATAAAAAGAAATATAACTATATTCAGTACTTCTCCAAACTATTTTTCTGATCAAAATTCCAATGATAAAAGTCACCTGATACCCATGATAATAAAATTATTATAACAATTTGCCATTTATCTCTTTTTTTCTGTTCCTGTCCTGCCTTATTATTTCTTCTAAACAATTATGCTCATGTAAATTTGACATTTTTCTCCATATTCCCCTTGTCACTAACTTCATTTCTCATTCCCTTTCCTGGCCATTTACAAAGAGTCAGTTTGGTTTACAGAATGCAAATGGATAGGATGGAAAATACTGCAGGTTCTTTCTGTTCAGAAGAGAGTAAATTTGGCAATTCTTGACAAAGTTGCTCACTGGGAGCCTAGAATTAATGCTCTGCAGCTCCCAGAGTGCAGGTTCAGATCATTGAGCTGCTCTGCCTGCCTGAACTTGCAGCTTTCCTCTGTTGCTTTCTGCTCTGACAACAGTGATAATGCCCAAAGAATTATTCCCAGAGTAACTATGCCGTATTTGAACAGTGCTTGCCTCTAGAGAAAAGGGAAACTGGGAAATCTCAAATCTAAGACTAGAAACCACAGGCTCTCTTTGATTTAGTCTCTCTCTCTCTCTCTCTCTCTCTCTCTCTCTCTCTCTCTCTCTCACACACACACACACACACACACACACACATACACACAAACCTGTTACTTTGTATATTGACAAATTCATGATTTAAAATTGGTTACTATGAAACTATTTTTCTAATGGAAGGCACATTAGTTGATTCCCATAAATGAGGCACTTGACTTTCTATATAAGGTAATTTTTTTAGTGTTTTGGTTTGTTTTGTGTAAGAGCCACATCAAGCAGCGTGAGCTGGGGGAAAGGGTATTAAGTGCCGTTCCCAGCAATACTTGAACTCACAGTACAGTGTTCAGGTCAGGATCACACCCAGTGGTGCTAGGAAATGAGTTGCATTCAGTGTCTGATAAACTCAGGGCTTTGTAAGTACTAGGCACGTGTTCTACAACTTTCATCTCTAGTCTTTGGCAGGTCATTAATTAATTTATTATTTATTGAAATATTTTGTACCAGGAAGAATTTCAAGTATTTCAAAAATGATTATTTATTTAATTCACTTTTCTGTGAGGTGCTTATTGTCTTTATTTTCCACAAAGTTTTCTAGTGCAGAACCCATGTCCATACCCATTGTTCTAAAGCTACTCATTGTCCTTTACATCTGTTCCAGATTTTTTTTCTGATCATTTCAATTAATTGTCATTCTTTATTCCTTAGACCCCATCAGTTTCTTCCAGTGTGTCTACTTGGATGGATACAACGGCTATGGATTTCAATTTCCTGTCACTCCTGCGCAGAACCCTGGACAGAAATCACCACAGCCCAGTTCTTTAGGACAAAAGCAACAAGAACAATAAGCACATGCACAGCCCTTACACAATTTTTAAGACCAAAAATGGGATGATTTTGTCCACAATGTCACAAGCAATTGAAATAATAGCCCAGGGAATTTCTTTGAAAATATTTTACTCTGTTGCCTGGTATAAATAGAAATGGTGGGCAAAGGGATTGGATGATAAACAACATGTTGAGGGTCTGGTGCTAAGGAATATGTTACTTGCATTTTATTTCTAGGTATGAGTGCTTATATTTTTCTATTTCCAAATGAGAAAAGAATTGTTCTCAAGTTTACTCAATAATGGTCTGTTAAGTGTATTTAAGACATTACAAAATAAAATTCCCAACTTTAGTTAGGTATTTATTGTTAAGTGAAAATGCATTGTGTTTTAAGTTTAAAGGTATAGATGTTTATATAAAAGCTACTGTTGTGAATTAAGTTGATATCTAAACTCAATTTTCTTAATAAGTTGATGCTTATAATTTAAGTCAATGTATACTTTTTCTAACTTGTGACAATTCCCAAAGAATTGGTAATCATGGCACAAGAGTTCCTTATGACACTCCTAGAACTCCAAATATAATCTCAACTTTAGCCATAAAATGGAGTATAATATGGAGTATATATGAGTAGACGTCAGCTAGCATTTGTGATGCTCCTAGAACTCCAATGATAATCTTGACTTTAGCCATAAGATGGAGTAGAAACGTTTGAGGAATCTTATTTCTAAGATTTATCTCAAATTATAATTCACTCCAATGGAAATAGACAATACAATTAAACAGATTTGACAAATAGTTTGCTTAAGTATAAGCAAATGATATTTTCAGACTTTTCAGAGTTTTCCAGACTGTGCCCTAATGAAAATGTCACCTGAATGAAATTTTTAGATTAATAACTAAATTTAGGTGACAGATCCAAGACTATTTTTCACTTCGCATCAATATAATTACTTTGCGTAGCTTAATAGTTCTTCTTCGTCAAAAAGGAAATACATGAATGACACCACAGTTGAAGGAAGACATTTTAACATATATGCTTCATGAGATGTCTTACTTGTATTTTAAGTATTGGTTATCAGTGCCAATGAAATGAATGACAGCCTTTCACTTACTTGACAATTCATCACTTGGAATGGCTTTCAAGTTTTATAATTATTTAGTCTCCAAGTGATATAAACTCTTTTGTTCTTTACTACATTTTTCTATCAAGTCAAAAATCTCTGCCACTGTGATCTTTATCATGTTTACAGTTGCAACTCAACTTATGACAAATTAACTCAGAAAGTACACTGAACTATTTTTTTTCTTGCATTATTCTTATACTCATCAATGTCCAAGATAACCAGTGTCCACACTAGCCATGTACTTTATTTTCAAGGACTTTAACTGAATATAATCTTTAGGTCCAACAAACATAACATTGTTTTATTTTTTTAGAAAAGTCATTAGGCTAGGACACGAGTAACGTATCCATTATTAATAATTAATTTCTGTGGCTTTTGGGAAAGAAGTTGCTTTTAAACACATGACGGTGCATATAACTCTTGAGCAAAAGCCAAAAATACAATGAACTTTGATTAGTAACAATACCAATCAGTTGGTCTGGGAATGTGTAACTTCAAGACTGGTCAGACAATACTATCTTTTATAGCTCCTTCAGGCAGTGATGAATACCTCTGTGTGAGACAGAGGATAACGTCTATTGCTCTTCTGCTCCTCCAGATGTCCAGGAGTAGTGAGCAAATATGGTATAGTATTAGCGTTTACAGAAGAGAATGGTTACTCCGTCAATTCTTTCATTTAACAGTTATTAAACATACTTTATAGTTTCTAGGGCACTATATTAGGCACTGGGCAATGTAAGAAAAAACTATCAAAGGTAAATACTGTTCCCAAATGCTGACTGATAGTACAGCAGATATGGCACTTGTTCTGTACGTGACCTAGCCAGGTTCTATCCCTGGAACCCTATATGATTCCCAGAATCTGCCAAGAATTATGCCTGGACACCCAACCAGGAATAAGACTTGAGGACTGCTTCGTGTAGCCCCCAAACAAACAAACAAAAAATATATTACCAGTGCCAATCTTAAACAACATGGCCTTAGAATGTTCTGAAAATTATTCCCCTGTTTCCCTGTATACTATTAGGGATTTCATAAAAAATATCCTGATACCTCTCAGAGGCATAATGAAGACTGAAAAACTGTATATTGCAATTTACCATAATTATAATTTATACAAATTAATTATAGTTTGAAGAACAATCATAAAATGTTAATATTTATCTTTCAAAAGTTATAATGTTGATAACAATATAAAATAATGAGCTAAATATCATCTGGTTGTGTAATCAACAAAATAAAATGTTTCTCGCCCTCTTGTCTGTGTTCTTTCAAATAAGATTAAAGTTGCTTGAAATATTTTCTTTAACTGTTCACTCATAACTCACGTTCAATCAATCACAAATAGGTAATAATTTAATATTTTTTCTTTATACATTTGTTTTGAGCAAATCACTCCCAGATTATCCTGTTCCCTACCCCTTACCACCTGTTAATAGGTGAATCATAGAAAAGAAATAATTTTACAGAATATTTGATTTATATTTAAAATATTATGCATCATTATTCAGTTTTTGGAAGAATTTTTCAGAATATTTCTATGAAAATCACCAACATATTGAGTTATTCATTCTGGCTATTTTTCTGAAAAATCCCAGAAATATAATGGAAACAAAATATTTTTAGGAGCACATATCATTTTCTTAAATTTTTTAATTTTTTAGATGGTTAAAAGAAAGTAGAATATAACAAATATCATTTTTAATAGCAGTATTAAAACCATATAACACAAGTGCATATATATAAATGAAACATATTCTACAAAAAGACATTTATCTGAATTTATCGAGCATATTAAATTTTGAATCTTTAAGTTACCAGATTCCTCGCTATATCTTCAGGGTGTTATAAACCTTCACTAATTTATCTTTTATCTCAAAATCTATTTTAAATAAAAATCAGTGTTAGAAATATAAGCTTGTGGAAAGACATTATTCTATGAGAATTCCAGTAAGATGGCAGACTAGTAGAAATGCCAAGCTCTTTCTTCACACATTTTCAACTGAAATATCAAACAATTGAAGTATATGCCTGGAAAGGGCTACAAGCAACTTGAGAAGGAGCGTGAGCATGGAGAGAAGCTACAGAAAAGCTTGAAAAGCATAGAAACAATAATGTCACCAATTGTACCTCCAGGGCTTCTGCGTGTTTTTTGTTGTTGCTGCTTTGTATGGTTGGTTTGTTTTTGTTGGATTTGGAGCCAGAAGCACAGTGATCAGGGCTTAATTCTGGCTGGCTTGGAGTACCATATGGGGTGCTGTGGATCAAACCTGGGGTCAGTCACTTCCGAGCAAGCACCCTACCACTGTCCTATCGCTCACACCCTTTTTCTTGGACTTTGTGACTTGCACAAGGAAGAGAGGGACCATAGACTGTACGCAACAAGGCATGGAAAGTAGAACTTTCCTTTGGAGAGCAGCAGTGCATTGGTGGGTGACATGTCCAAGGCTTCATGCTCCAAAGGGAGCATGAAGATTAGGTGAACAGCAGCGCCAAGATAGTTGGCAAGTAATCTGGGAGCAGGAATGAGGCATAAGACTCCCATTGCCCCTGCGGATGGAGTTTTGGAGGATCACTGGAGTGTTCCATCGCTGGTTGGTACATAGGTTAAGTGTGAGGGGAGGGGATGAGTGAAAGGAGACTTAACACAGTTCGTGACACCCCGATGCAGGCAGCTGTTCTTGAAATTTAGAAACCTTTCAATAGTGGAGCCTTTTAGGAATGAAGGAGTCCTGTGGTCTTCTCACACAAGGCTTCTTTCCCTCTCAAAACTGGCCTTGGCTTATGAGGAGCACTGTTATAGAAACGCCTGGGACAATCACCCACCTAGACTGCCTAAATTGAGTGACAATATCCATAGACTTTAACAATTACCTTCATTGTGTCTAAAACAGCTAGTACTGAGACTGTGATTTGACAAAAGTTCAAACTGAAGATAGAGATTGTTGTCCTTGTCTGCACCCTCTGAAGAGCTGCGAGGCAGAATCTAAAGAGTGGAACCAGACACAGGAGGGATAACAGATAACTGTAAGTGACTGGGATAGCTCCGACTGCACAACTGGCCTGGAGGAAGAGAGGGATGGCAGTTCTCACCCCTGCTCAAGCACCAACAAATGACACTTTTGGAGAATTGATTTCATGGCACCTTCTAACAGAAATCTTTCTGCTACTTGGATACTAACCTGCAGTGGCACAAGACTTCCTATCAACTTAATAGATGGAGGGATGTTTATACATAAAGTTCCAGACTCTACAGTATCCCAAGTACCCTAAAAATACATCTTAAAACCCATAGCTCTAAATAAAGGCTACATAAAGCCTAAATAAAGCCTAAATAAAGAAGTCAAGGAAAGACTACCACTCAACTTAAAGAGGACTTCTTCATAGATGATGATGCAAGACAAAATCCGGGGGGGGGGGGGGGGGCGGGGAGATTTAGATGTACTGAGTATCATAATTTCTGAATTTAAAATAACACTTCAGAAATGTAGGGACCCTCAATTTGACATCACACCTATTCTAGGAGTAACTTTAGACATTAATCATCTCTACCTCTCATTTTAAATGGAAATTAATGCTCCTAGAATAATTATTTTCATCTTTGGTGAGCGAAATTATGAAAAAATATCATACAAAGGAATAGCACCGTTAAGACATTTCAAATCTCCTTCTGGTTTCATTACAAAATGGTTCTGGATAAGCTCTGCAAAGATGACTTAGTGCCGTTAAGTGCCATTAGCCAAAGCAACAAAAGAAAATCAGACTTACATGAGCCAAGATGAAAATTAGGAACAAGGACACTGGCAAAAAGTTATTTTGCTTTAAAAATTTCCACATTGTGTGTCATTTTCTTGAAGTTGCTATTAAATCACTGACAACAGAATAGTTTTCAAACTATGCTATCAGAACACACAGAACTTGCAAGATATCTGTGGGAAAATGGTACTTGGGATAAAAATGGAATGAACACCAATATACTTATGTTCTCCAAGACAAGACTGTGGAATTGAACATTCATAAATAGGGAGGTTCTTCAGCAATGTATGTATATTTGTGTCAAGATAAATACCAAATGTAGCATTTTTCTCCTCTCCACACCTTTCCTTTCTCTTTCAGAGCTCAACAAACCATTTGTATAAATCAAATGCCATCAATGCACAGTCTTCACAAAGGAGGCGATATTTGTTACACACACCTATGAGGTAACATTGGTTTGCAAGAATGTATTTTAGGAGTACAATTTCACATCTTTTCATAATGTATGTTGTCACAGTCACACCATGTCAACTACCAGGTGTCAGAATCCTACCACCACTTAACCCTTTCCACCTCCAGACCTACCCACTCCCCCATCATAAACTCAGTTCTGATAACAAAGTCTAAGAATTTGTCTTGCCCCTTGCTTCGTTTTTTTATATGTCCAATATGAGTGAAACAGTCTGGCATTTGCCTTTCTCCTACTCTTTCATTTATCAAGATCTTCTCCAATTCCATGCTGGAGCAAGAGGAAATATCCCCTCTGAGAGCTGGTTAGTATTCCATTCTGTGTATATACCTCGTCTTTCTTTGCAGCCATCTGCCATCGGGCACTTGGCTTCTTTCTGTATCTTTGCTACTCTAAGATCCTGGCCAGTCCTTTCTGCTGCCACAACAGGGGACTGGAGTGTAGTTGGGGAGGAAACTTCACAACTATTTACAGCTAAAAGGGAATTTTATATTACTTCCAACACCAACTTAAAAACCTCATAGGAAATTTATCTTTTTTCTATGATTTTTGAATTTTGTTCCACAGACAGAACTATTTTGCATCCAGGTGAAATCATTGGGCAGAAAATGCCCAACAAAAAATATAAAATATACATATGAGAACAAGTATTAAATTTTGATCTATGTGAAGATATTAAAGCATGCTACCCAAATGTAACTCATTATATAAGGAGTATTTTTGTTTGTTTTGGTGACATACCTTGAAATGCTTAGGGGTTATTTCTGGCTCTGCACTGAGGGATCATTCTTGGCAATGCTCTAGGACGAAATGTATTCTGGGGATTGAACGTTGGGGCAGCCATGTGCAAGGCAAACACCCTTTCCACTGTACTATTGCTCTAGTATATATAAGGAGTAATTTTATGTGCATGTAAAGGAAATAGAACTTACAAACCCCAAATATCAGGATACAAGATTTTTATTAAAGACAGCTTCAAATTCTTATGTCTTTGAGGAGAGATGCAATGCATTAGTTACAACTTTAGAATGTTTCTGTATGAAAACGTTGAATAAAAATGAAATAAAATAAAAAGGAAAGCACTGTCCTCACTGTGTAGCTTTTCTCATGGGAATATTATATAGCATCAACATCTTTTAGAACTTCCTTTTTCACTAACAAGGTATCATTTTTATATCAGTGCATAAAGTTTCCCTATTAATATGAACAGTTAATTATAACAGACCATATAAATACATAAATGTAGAACTGTAAGTATCTATAAAATCAACACTTAGGTAGACCA